TCTTCCTGTTCTTTCAGCAGCCGGGCCTGTCGTCTCTTTTCGGCCAAGATCTTTGCGGCTTCCTCTGCATCGGTGGTACCTGCTGTGGGCTTCCATGAGGCTGCAGCAGAGGAAAAGATCAAAGGCGATGAAATCGTGATTGACTCACATGGCAGCTGCCCCTTGGAAACGAAAAGCTCACCCCAGTGGGGGAAGGGAAATGCTCAACGAAAATATCTGCCTCTGTTGTGAACTAGCGCAACTCGCCATTGAGCAGACGCTGCAATACGCGGTTGTGACCTGCATGTATTTCACAGTGGACGGCGGTGAAAAGGTGAGGAGGAGAGACAGGGTCACTAGCAAGTTCCATAGCAGCCACCACTGCTGCTCTCATCTGGATGTGAACTCACTGCATCCATCGCAGCAGCTCGCAGGACTAAAGAAACAGACTGTGTGGATGTGATGGTGCTGTCCAGGTGCAGCTCAGGCCCCCTGATGCCTGTCCCGCCAGGGACCCTCAGGTGACCAAGGGGAAGGACTCGGGCAACGCGCAAGCCTGAGGAAGCACGAGGGCGCGCAGCTGTCTTAGGGAACACTCCTCCCCTCCTCAAAACACAAGCCTCCCACGTGGACTGGGTCAGAGGGCCTACCTCCGCTGCTCTCGGCCTTCCCACATGCAGCTGCGTGCTTCTCAGTGAAATGCTTGTCCACCATGTGCTTCTCTGGGACATCCTCCCACATTGGGGTAGTCTCCCACGGAGCCAGGGCCACCTCCCTCTCCTTGTTGCTCTTCTCTTTCTCTGCTTTCTTCTTAGGCGTGTCCAGGCTGGGAAAAGCAGGTAAACGGTACTTCACGGGAGACCCTGGGTATGGCAGCTTCGCATTCTTTGGAGACTGTGGATATACTCTTGAAGTTCCCCTGAAAACCAAAAACAGGCCAAGAGGTGATCACTGGGCCTGACCGCAGCACTCTCTATTCTTAAGACACCTGGTTCCAAAAAGTTGAATGATTTCATCCTTCAAGAGGAACAAATGTAAGGCTTAGCACACACTTTAAAGTCCCTGAAGTACTATCCCCCCCAACAGGAACATATGGTAGCTATAAGATGTCCTGGTGGAAGGGACAATATTTTAGGAAGCCCAGCTGGTAACATCATGTCCTAATTTCACTTAAGTTTGATGACAACATAAAGATGGAGCATTAGGCATTTTCCCACCTCCTCTTTTTAGATGAACACCAGAGCTAGATCTGACTTCAGCACATGGCAATGGACAAGCTGGCTCCTTTTTCCTATTGTGGCAAAAGTCATGTAACGTAAAATTTACCATCTTAACCATTTGTAAGTGTACAGTTCAATGATATTACGTGTGTACTGTGGTGCAACCATCACCTCCGCCCATCCACAGAACTCAGTGCCCATTAAACACTAACTCCCCGTTCCTCCCTCCTCCACTCCTGGCAACCTCCCTTCCACTTTCTGTCTCCAGGAATTTGCCTATTCCTGGTACCTTACAGAAGTAGAATCACACCGGACTTTTCCTTTTGTGTGTGGCTTATCTCGCTCAGCATAATGTCATCGAGGTCCATGGTCTCTTTCTTTTTTTTTAAATTTCACCTTTACTGAGATATAATTGACATCTGATTCCTTTTTATTTTTTATTTTGGTTCCTTTTTAAATGCTGAGGAACAAAGTCGGCCAAGAGGTTGGGAGAGGTGGTGTCTTTTGGGAGGGTCTTCAGGTTTAAAAGAATCTTTCTTGCTACTGGGAAGATGCAAAGGTGAAGACAAGGCCATTTCTACCCAGGAAAACACCACTTTGTTAAAATGCAGGAGCTTGTCTTATGTCTGTTGGAAGAAGGTCCATTATAGGTGTGCTGGCCTAGGCCTGGCTCCTGATGAGGCCTAGATGTTGATTACATAGGTAAAAGTCTAGCTTTAGACACCAAGTTTACGTAGCAGTTGGCACAGGAATGTGGCAGAGTTCCTTTAAGGAAAACATAATCTGCACGTAAATTACAAATTGTCACTTTCAATCCTGTAGCAGTTTGAACCATATGAAATTGCTAATATTCGACTGTTTTCAATCTATAAAAACAGCAATAAAAATGGCAACTCGACCTAATATTAAAGGCCAATTTTTCACCAGAGGCTTTAAGAGTTACCTAGTCGGATCCTGATGAGAAGAAAACATATGATCAGGTCAATATTAAACTTGGTCTTGAGCTGGAAAAATAATCCTTAGGTGGTATGTGGACTGACTAAAATGCAGGCCGGTTTTCCAACGATGCTCTCATGCTAAATGGCCAACTCCGGGTGCCCAGGAGAACACCTCTCAGTTAATGCCAGGCCGAGGGCCACACGGTAATGTGATCACTTGACCCAACAAATACAACTTGAACATGGTTTCAATTTTTGAAATTCAGTTTCTCAGCATCAACTATTTTACTGATATGGAATCAGTCCAGATCCCACTTCCAGATGGGCTGTACGCCCCTCTCCAGCGGTCTGCACTGGACGGCTCTAACCTCAGAGAGAGTCGCTTCGCACTGGCCGCACTGACTTCCCTGTGCCATCATTCTGGTAGGCCGGGAGCCACACAGAACTCCTGTGACACCTCATCTGTGTGGATGGTGCGTCCCTTATGCAAACTGTTCTCCCTCCGCCCCTGGGCTCAGCTGACTCAGCCCACCATTCCTAAGGGACCTCTCGGCAACCAAGAGTTTCTTTCCAGATGAACTATTATAACCCTGGTTTTCTAATTTCATTGCTAGACTTACTCAAATAAAAGTCGTGCACAGAACCCTCGTACCCTCCATGTACAGATAGGAGCACATGCACCAGGGTTTCTAAACCCTGCCACTCCTGGTATTTGGGGCCGGATCATTCTTTGTTGTGGGGCTGTCCTGTGCACTGCAGGATGTTTAGCAGCAGCCCTGGCCTTGACCCACTGGGTCTCCATTACCCACCCCTGCCACCCGCAGGCTATGACAACCAAAAATGTCTCCAAACATCGTCAAATGTCCCCTCAGGGGCAAGACTGCCCCAGCTGAGAACCACTGGGGCGAGACAGACACCCCCACACACCTTCTGTCTATCTAAAGCAGATAGAAGTGGTGCTGCTCTGGTTGGAGGGGCCGTGCCCTAAGCCCCAGTAACATCGAGGCGCACCGATGAGCTTTCTGAGAGCCTGAGACTGAGAGGTAATTACTAGTGCCTGATGTGTTCTGACAGAGTCACACCTGGGTCCCTCCCCAAATGACCTGAAGTTCAGCCTTCCATTATCATCCTCCAAAACGGCGTCCACGCTTCCTGAGTGCTGTCTACACACCAGCCACTGTGCTGCTACTTGTATACCTACACAAATTTGGGCATGTATGTGTGTATACATGTGCCTTTTAGTTGTCAAAACCCAATATGACACAATACTACCATTAGGGTCACTTAACAGAGGAGGAAACCGGGCGGACAGAGGTTAAGGAGGCCACGGACCTGTGGTCTTAGCCCACGTCTCCCTGACTCCACTTCTTACAACTCTGCCCCATTCTCTGTGTTGCAGTAGTGGCTAAGCCTGAGTTTAGAGTCACCAAGACCCTCATATGCTCACTTTAGAACTAGCGCAGAGTAAGCACCCAATAGCTGTTAGATATCAGTGTTGATTAAATATATGATAAACTAAAAATCTGAATTCTCCTCACAGACAAGAATGAACCAAAACCAGGAGGAAGAATGGTGATACTGGGGACCTCAGGCCCCGCCCTCTCACGATGACAATGCTCCATTGAGCACCATTTTCGAATCAGCTGCAAAACCCGGTGTTTAGGTTCAAATCACCTGTATAAACACACGGCAGGTGAATTTTTGCTTGGTGATGCCCTCCTTGCACGCTGTCATCCAAGGCCACAGTGCTGCTATAACCACAGGAGGGGTCTCAAGGGACCTGGTCTAATGCCTTGGGAAGATCCAAACAAGTCACCCATTCCCTAGAATATCATGTGTATGCTAGGTGTGGCTTCTGTCCAAACACAGGGACAGGGAATGGCAAAGAATCACCCTGGATTTGGGATCTGGAGAGAGAGGCAATAGGAAAGACTTCTATTTTTATGGCAGATGATGCTGATGAAAACAGCTTCTCCTCCATAAGCATTCCTACCTTGACTCATTAAATAGGAATTTCTGGTATTAAAAAGACAGGCAAAAAGCTATCTGCTCTTCTTCCTTGCCCTCATCCTCCTCCCCAAGGGGCGAGGCATGATTTCTCTGATAGGTGGGACTGATGCTGGGTGCCTTTGAGCGTTCTCTGGACCTGCCTGCGACAAGCCCACATTCCGAGCTTCTGTAAGCGGTGCCTGAAGAGGCAGGCTCCACCCCGGGGGACTTGCACTGTGCTGGTGCCTCTGCCCACGAGTGGGCAGATGGATGGGGAACCCTTCTACAGACGAAACTCCCACCATGTGGGGACCCGGGCTGGACCGAGGGGAATGGGTAAGAGGCCTGAACTGGCTGCAGGCCCAATCCATTCGATCGTCCAGCCTTAGCAGCAGAAAGCCAGCTTCTGGATCCCAACATGACCCCTGGGTCTGATTTAAATGGCTCACTATCAGAAGGGAATGCAGCCTGATGAAGTCACCCTTAATCAGTGTGCCTGGAGCCCGTGGATGACAATGTGGGGCAGGATCACAATTCCAAGGAGGAAAGGCCAGGCTGGCCTAGGTGGAAGAGGGTCTGACAGCCTCGGGTCAGCTCGGCCCCGAGCAGCCTTGTCCCAACTTGCTTTAACAAAACAGTCACACTTAGGTTTTGTTGACATCACAGTCTGTGAGGTTCTATTCAAAGTAAAACTGGGCCAATTATCCATGAGCACACATCTAAAAACAATTTCTACCCGAGAAGTAATGGATTATTTGGGATAAAACTCAATATATGAAGAAGTCTGATTACACTCACCTACCCCAGCCCCTGTCCAATAAAAATAAAAATTAGAGAGACACAGACACACACAACCTTCAAATTAGAGAGTACAGGCAACTCAGATTTTTTTTTTTTTAACAGCGCAAGTGACCGAAATATAGAAGACAATCTTAGAAGTTCCCTATTTTATCTCCATATCTTTAGTTTCCTGCCCATCCTGCCTTGCCACTTCTCCACATGCCTTTAGTACCATGTCAAGCATCTCGAGAGCTACTAAGCTCGGGCAGCTTGAACCAGGTGAGGTGGGTCTGGCAGGTCTCAGAGCTCTCTGACCAGCCCTGCTCACACTACTGCAAGCCAAACAAAGTCTGGCAAAGTCATCTCGCTCCCCTCCAATTTCCTAGAAATAAGTATCTTGGTTGATCGAAGAAATTAAACACAAATTAACCAGGGGGAACTCACTGTGTTTTCACAGTGTTTTATTTTTAAGTATTTTCTCTATTTAACAAGGGTCTATTTGATCGCCACAATAACCAACTGAGGTAGGTGGGAAATGACTATTTACCATATTTCAGATAAGAAAACCAGTCTTAAGCGTTTAAATGACCTTTCCCAAGAGATGTCAACAGATGAGAGAGTCATGGCCGGCACCCAAGTCGCTGATTCTTCATCTATTTTTTTTATAGCACTTCCACTTTAATTGTTAGAAGTTCAATACCTCCAGTATTTAAAATCTAACAAAGGGGGTTCACAAGTTTTGTTCAGATGGCAGAGACAGGCCTTTCTGGTTCTGGGGAAAATGTGTGTGTGTGTGCTTGCGTGCGTGTGCGTGTGTGTGTATGCGTGCGCGTGCGTGCGTGTGTGTGTTGCATCTATGGAGAGTGAATGAGAGTGAGTAGGGAGATGGGAATGATGAAGCAAATGTGGCTAAATGTTAACCGGAAGAATGATATACAGGAGTTCACAAGGCAGGATTATATAACCTTCTGTGGTTCCATGACTGTAGGAAATATGAACAAACACCTCTGTAAGTAGAGCAGCAAGAATAACTCTCAGGAGAGGGTTGTCACGCTTCTGAACATGAGCTTATTGCAAGCAGAACCCCAAAGGACTTTTTTCCTCTACATCTTGGAATCTAGTTCTATTTTTTCCAAAGCCACTTGACACCAGGCACAGTGAATACAGCCCACCCACAGGATGGGAGGGGTCTGTGGCCTTGTCAGCACAGCTCAGCCAAGATTTTGAAACGTCTTTGTTTGTGATCACAGTTTATTCCTTCCCAGAGAGGAAAAGACCAATTTTATAACAGAGAAACCTGTGTATATCACCTTAAGCAAGTGATCGAAGTTGCCATCAGCAGTAATGAAACAACCCAACACCTTGGCCTCCTGATAAAATGCAATGAGAAGAAGGCGCCATCCCTTCAGTGGGATTCCTGCCCCAAAGCATAACCTGAGTCTAATCATGAGGAAACAGCAGACCAGACCGACCCAAATTAAAAACCAGTCCTCAAAATAACTGGCCTGTGCTCTTTTAAAATGCAGAGGTCAAGAAGAAAACAGGCTAAACAACTATTCCAGGTTAAAGGAGACAAGACAACTCAATGCAGTGTGGGAGTCTGGGTTGGATCCTGGACCAGGGGAAAAAATGCTATAAAGGATCTCATTGGAACAACTGGCAAAAGTGGCGTATAGACTGTAAATTAAGTAACAGCATTATGTCAAAGTTAAATTTTCTGACTTTCACAATTGTACTGTGCTTATATAAAAGAATGTCTTCATTCTTAGGGGTAAAGGGTCATGACATCTATGACTTCCAAATGGTTCTGGGGAAAATGTGTGTGTGTGTGCGTGCGTGCGTGTGCGTGCGTGCGCGCGTGTGTGTGTTGCATCTATGGAGAGTGAATGAGAGTGAGTAGGGAGATGGGAATGATGAAGCAAATGTGGCTAAATGTTAACCGGAAGAATGATATACAGGAGTTCTTTGTTCTAGGCTTGCAATTATTCTGTAGGGTTGAAATGATTTCACAATGAAAAGGCTTTTAGAAATTGGTCTAAACTCAAATTGCTCTCTAGTAAGACTAAAAATATAGGACTATGGACTGGGTGAAGATATAAGTATGACTGTGAGGAAAGGGTATAACTTTCCATTTTTAATTATCCTTTTCAAGAAAATTTTCAGGCAAGAATGTAAAAGCCAATTTGACAATGGTGGTGGCAAAAAACAACAGTTAAACTGCCAGTGCTCATCTATCTGTAGGTAGGGGTAACCATATCATACATTTACCAGAGAAGCCTATGGGAATGGCACCCAGGAACGATCAATTATTGTCCTCAACCACCAAAGGAATAGGCTTGTTCCAGGATCCGTCCATGAGCCTGTGATCCTGAGTAGGAGGTACTTATTTGGGGCCATCCAGACAACCCGATTTTAATTTTTTTCCTCATATGGACAAACAAAATCTATTGTGTTTCCAATGCAAGATAAAGTGAAATATATGTAAGCCAGCTTCCTGATATAAAATTGATCTCAGATATGAGCTATGTCTGAAAGTGATGATCTTTGGCAGATTGTATTTTCCAAAGTCAGCCACAATAATATCTCCTCCATTCCGCATGACCTTTTATTTCTCTATCCCATCGAATCTGGGTTGGCCTGACTGCTTTGACCAATAAAATACAGCAGAGAAGGAATGCTGTGCCAATTCAGGGCATAGTCCTTAACTGGCCTGGCAGTTTTCATTTCCTATACTGGGAGACACCCATTGTGGGGGACACTCCCTCTTGGAACCCAGCTGCCATGCTGTGAGGTGCCTAAGTCATGGAGAGGCTACATGTGGGCATGCTATTCTGGTTGTCAGCTCAAGCTGAGCTCCAGCCAACAGCCAGCATCAACTGCCAGCCAGGTGAATGGATCATGTTGGACCTGCAACTCGGTCGAGCCCTGGTTAACTGTAGACCCAGTTGACACTGCACCGTAACTACATGGAAGACTCCAGGTGAAAAGTACCTGGTGAGAACCAAGTCGACCCACACAACGACCACCCAAAAGACCCAAATAGAGACCCTCCTGGTAAGTCCAAGTCACAGAGCTGTAAGAATTAATTTTTTCCTCATATAGATGAACATTAAATTTGGTGGCGGGGAGGAGTTGTTACATCAGCAGTAGACAACTGTAACAGTCCCCATCAAAATGACCAAACTGACTTGGAATATATTTCTAAGAATCTGAAACCATTAGAGACTATCTTCACACTGAAGACTTGGGAGTACAGGCAGCGCTGGAGCTCAGAAGCTGGTCAATCCCCTAGGCCACACTTGATTTCCTCTCTCTAGGTTACAAGAAGAAAGCTATGCTCCCTCCATCTACATCTTTGAAAGTGTTGCTGAAGCTGGTTTTCTAAAACCCATACAAGCACCCAACAATGCGAACAATGAAAATAAACTTGAACGCTTAAAAGAGCAATGCCATTAATATGCACAGCCACCTAACCGAGGCTCAGTTTATCTGAGATCCAGGAGGAGAACAATGCACTGTCAGAGCCATTCACCACATAACCCATCTGGGTTTCTGGATGAGAGTTCAAAGGGACTAACCAAGCCCAAAGCCACATCGCACCACAAGAGTGTGCTTTAAAGATCACAGACTTGATCTGCACAGAAGGAAGGTCAAAAATGCTACTTTGGCTGGGGTTTATTTGTATGTGACACCATTTTAAAAATCAAGGGTTTCATTTTTGTCTTTCTTCAATATTGAGTATACAAAAGAACATTTATAAAGTAGAAAGGGTATAAAGAATGATATAACAAATGACCCAACACCCACCAAATAGTTCAAAAGAAAGGCACTATAATTATGCCACCATCTCCTGCGTGATCCCCCAACTGCCTACCCGCTCCTTACTCAGTGGCCATCACTGCATTTTGTGTCTGCTGTTTTTTTACTTTTTCTAAAGATCATTTAGCTCATTTATATTCTTAAAAACACATTGTTTAGGTCTGCACATCTGAGAACTCAATATATGTAAATGGCATTCTTCTACAACTTCCTTTTGTCTCTTTGTTCCTGAGATCCACCCACTGGTTGTGGGCGGCTGCACCCATTCTTTTTCAATGCTGTATAGTTTGGTTGGGTTTTCAGAATTTACTGACAGTCTACCTGATTACCCACATTTCTCAGACCTAGTCCATACCCAGTGTACTTCAGCTATTAATTTTCACCCAGGGAGAAACTATCTTTTATTCTGAACTTCTGAACTTCTTGAAATCAAGAAATGTTTGCTTCTCCTTAGACCTCCCAACACGTAATTCTGATTTAGCGGTATCCAAGCAACTTCTATCTCCAGGGTCCCTCTCTCAAGTTGATGATGATTCTGGTAGTTTGGACGGTACACAGGTAGTCCAGCTGTGTTTGAGTTTACTATTTTTTTCCTGCCTACACCAGAGATGCCACATATAGGGCTCTGAAAATATATGACACTCTATTCGTTTTTCTTTGGTGAAGTGGTAGGAATACCCCGCCGCACAGTACAGAAGCCGGCATCCTACATCGTTCAAAGATTCCCCAAGTGAAATATGCACCCCAGAAAGGTGAACATTTGAGGGGCTGATCGGCGACAGAATAAACCAAGACGCTATTAATTCAGCTAAGCGCTATGGAAGGCTTTTCTGTGTGGAAGACGGATACAGCAATAGCAGGAATTAGTTGTCTATTAAAAACCATAGTGATCTCTGAGCAAAACAATAGTAAGGTCTGAAAAGGTCTCTTGTAGAAAGCAACAAATTAGAAATAAGAGCTGATGTCACCTTGAAATATTTTTAATAAATTCCCAAGTGTTTCATTAAACTTGTGTTTTATCCTATGTTCTCTGAACCAAACTGATGCACTAAACGTATGACTCTATATAAAGTTTTATGACTTTATATAAAGTTTCCTATTTTTCCAAATTAAAATATTTCTCTTTGTCTGTCAATACTACTGAAGATGTTTTCATTCCACTGCTGGATTGAGTTATTTATTAGTGAGTCATTTTTAGCAGTTATCATCAGTAAAACATTTTAATGACTTAAGATAGTGGTCACATAGCGTAAGTTTGCTTTTCGGTTACATGGTTTCGTTGGTGAGTTCACCCAATCCTTAATAAAAAATATAATGGCTTCATTAAAACAAACATTTGCCAGTGTGGCCGACAACTTATTATTGTCTCTCTTTTAAAGAGACAGAGGAGATTGGAGAGAGCACAAGAGCTCAAGCGTTCAAGCACAATGGAATCACTTCAGTCCAGAAAGAGAAAGAAGGAGAATGCCAAAAAAGCAGAATGGAACAGATGGACCTGAAGAGAAAATGCTGAATACGTCACCTCAGTAGCTAAGAGTCCTATATTTACCAGGCAACAAAACTCCTTAAACTAAAAGCCCATCGTTTATCCAGAAGATGCTCAGAGCGTGAAGGAGGTAGCTCACCGTCCAGCATTCCTCCCGTCCACCTGTTAGGGCCGGCCATGCCTCCTGCAGAGCAGGGGGCACACACGGTGCTGCACAGAGCCCCGCCAAACTGCTTTAATTGTCTGACTGTAGCAAAGGGGAAAGATGCTTACTTGGGTGTCACGGGAGAAGATGATCTCTTAGAAATGCCTGTTGGAAAGTTGCATCTTTTTAGAGGGGACCCAGGGCTCACGCTGGGAATGGAAGTTGTTGTTCTCGGCCCTCTCTTCGTCTTCTCCGTCTGTAGGGGACACAGAATAGGACAGCCATGGCCCACGATCAACATTACTTCTACAATTTCTAAAAATACCCCCATGGAAGCAGTGCACAGCTTTCTTTGGGAAAGATCCACGTGAAGCTATAGTGCTCCCCACAATGGAACTGTTTGCAGAGAAGCAGCATGAGGTCACCACATTTAGGTCATCTAGTTTTAAAAAACAGGCTCAAAATGCAAAGATTTTCTTCTCCTTGTTACTGTGCAAAGAACCAACGACAAAACCATGCTATGGTCCTGGGTACATGGAAACTGAAGAGAGTACGAAGATCTATGATCACTAGAAAAAAGCTACAGGTGGGTGCAAAAGTGTGGTTTTAACACTCGAGACAGTGAGCTGTGGACCCTAAGAGTATACCCTGTATAATGGGGCCTGCAACCCCTCCCATCCCTCTACGTCTTCCCCATGGCCTCCCTCGGCAGGAGGCCGCAGGCACGGGCCTTGGTGCCTGGCCCGCTGTGGGTGCTCCGCAAGGGTGCTTCCCTTCTCTCCCTAGCACACATTTCATTTGGCCCCTGCACCCACGTACGTCAGCCCCCTTCCATAGTAATCCACCCTACAGTAAAACCTGAGGATCTGAATGAAACATTCGCTTCTCATGTGAGAACCGCAGGGCCACACTGGATTTAAAAAATAAATATAGTATTATAAAAATAAATGCCCCATAGGATGTACTGTGGTGGCTGTAAAAAAAAGTCGACACATCGTTGGATGTGCCTCCCTTCAACAGGTGGACCTCAATCCCCTCCACACCCGCAGAACCGATGGTGTGCAACACCTGAGGCTGGTGAATACAAAGTATTGCAGCTCTCTCCCTCCCCCTCCCCTCTTTCTCTCCCTCTAGCATCTCTTGCTCTGGGGAAGCCAGCAGTCATGTCATCATGTCATCATGTCGTTTGGACACTCGAGCAGCTCTATGGGAAGGTCCACGCAGTTAGGAATTGAGGCCATGTGAGTGAGCCATCCTAGGAGAGCCCCAGCCAAGCTTTCAGGTGACTGCAGCCCTGGCTGCCATCCTGACCACACTCTCACAAGAGACCCTGAACCAGAGCCACCCAAGCCGGCCTCAATTTCTGACCCAAAGAACCAGTGAGGTAATATATACTTGTTTTAAGCGGCTAAGATTTTGCGTAATTTGTTACATAGCAAGCGATAACTAACAGAAGTAGTACAGTATGTATAATTTCTAAATAGATATACATAATTGGGGGTACCTGCTCAACATTTGTTTTGCTGATGGTGTCATTATAATAGCAAAAATGTTTAAAGGCCACTGTTGTGGATGAAGGTTGACCTAGGACCTCGGTTCTAGTTGCCTATAGAGGGGAGACTGGCTCAGAATCAGACGTCTTTAAAGAAGCAGACGGGACACTTGGGACATTACTTCTGACTCCTGTCCTCTGGAGGGCAGGCTACAACAAGAACAAGGTCTTTAGGATTTTCCCCAAGGCACTAAGATTTAGGAGGGTACAAAAAGTTAAATGATTTTCAAAGTTTGGGTGAAATTTTAAACCAAATCTACCCCAGAGACTGATGGAAACAGAGGGCCAGCTCAAGCACAGGGAGCAGGCGCGCTGTCAGACAAACCATCTCCAGGGGTGAGCCAGGGGGTCTAAACCTACCGGAGAGGCCTCCGCTCCTGCTGGGACTTCTTTTCCACCATCTCCTACGCCAGATGTTGATGTAACCTTCTTCCTCTCGGTGTTCTGAGTCGCAGAGGACTTGTAAGAAGGTTTAAAAGGGCCAGCAGGAGCTACATGAGGACAAGCATGGAATACCAGAGTTACAGTTTAACAGCCAGAGAGACGCGGACATAGACAGAAAAAGGAGCGGGAGCAGGGAGTTGGGAAGAATACCATATTTCTGTTAAAATATGACACGGACTCAGAATACACCATACTTTTTCTCATGTGCACAGAAGGGACTTCATCTTAAAAGATTCTCAAACTCAGTGCTCGAGAGTCCAGTTCATTTCTGGAGTTCCAAGTCTGGGCTTAGGAGACAGACCTAGTGCCGTCACCTAATAGCTGGATCATCTTGGGCAGGTTACTTAACCTCTCTAAATGTCAACTTACTTGTGTAGAAAGAGTTAACACGACAGGCCTGACTGCTGTCCTTGCAAAGGCCTCCTTGCAAAGCTGGCCCTTGATTTCAAGAGTGTTCTCACCATTAACTGACTTCTCCTGCTTTCTTTCTGAGAGCCTGGAATTTGGGGATGAGCCTGGCAGGGGCTGCCTACGTGACCAGCCCCAATAAAAACCCGAGGCGCCGAGTCTCTAACGAGCTTCCCTGGTTGGCAACGTTTCACACGTGTCACTACTCTCTGCTGCAGAAATGTGTTCTGTGTGACTATCCTAGGAGAGGACTCAGGAAGCTCGTGTCTAGTCTTCCCCAGACTTCATCTCGTGCACCTTTCCCTTTGCCGATTTTGCTCTTCAGCCTTTCGCTGTAATAACTCACGGCTATGAGTTCTCCTAGAAAATCATCGATCCTGGGAGTTGTCTTAGGGACTTCCTGACGCATTCACCTTCTCAAAATGGAAATATTTCCTACTTCCCAGGAAGTTTTTATTTGTTTGAGATATAATTCACATACCATAAAATTCATCCTTTTAAAATGCAGTGTTTTTTAGTATATTCACAAGGTCGTACAACCATAACTATAGTCTAATTCCAGAACGTTTTCAACACCCCCAAAAGAACCCCTGTAACCACTAAGCATTCACTCCCCTTTTCCCCTTCCCTCAGTCCCTAGCAATGACTAATTTACTGTTTCTCTGATTTTGCCTATTCTGCACATTTCATATAAATGGAATTACATAATTTGTGAATTTTGCATCTGGCTTCTTTCGCTGAGCATAATGTTTTCAAGGTTTACCATGTAACATGTATCAGTAATTCATTTCTTTTTATGGCTGAATAATATTCCACTTTATGGCTATACCACCATTTTACTTGTCCATTCATCTGTGGAAGGACATTTGCGTTGTTTACACTTATGGCTATAATGCATCGTGCTCCTCAGAATACTTGTGTACAAGCTTTTGTGTGAACACGTTTTCAACTTCCTTGCCTCTATACCTAAGAGTGGAATTGCTGGGTCATATGGTAACTCTATGTTTAACTTTTTGAGGAACTTGCCAGACTGTTCTCTAAAGCGACTACACCATTTTTCATTCCCACTAGCAATGTATAAAGGTTACAAAAATTTCTCCACATCCTCACCAACACTATTTTCCTTTTTTCTTTGAATTTTGGCCATTCTAGTAAATGTAAACTAATATCTCATTGTGATTTTGATTTGCATTTCCCTAATAACTAATGGTATTGAGCAACTTGTCGTGTGCTTATTGACCATTTGTATGTCTTCTTTGTGGAAATAGCACAACTACTAGGAAACAGCTAGAACTAGGTAGAGGATTGACTCCACGTCATTTATATGTCATCTCAGTGAACACGCTATCATGGGAACTGAGACCAGACCTACCCTAACATGGACACGGCGTTGCTCCCGTGCAAACAGAGAGTGCTAGCCTTCATTAATCTTGCCATGATCATTTGATTCACTTTGGTCAAGGAAGGGCTTTGACGGTATGGCCCAGTGATTCTCAGACATCAGTGTGCGGGTCTGGTGGGGCCTGAGAGTCTGCCTTCCTGACCAGCTCCCAGGTGATGCCAATGCTGCTGGTCCATGGACCAGCCCTTGAGTAGCAAGACTCTAGATTATTTGTTGAGTGCTTACTGTGCCGATCACTGTGCTATCTCATTTAATCCTCGTGACGATTTAAAATAACTCCATTTTATACATGAGGAAACTGAGGCTTAGAGAGATTAATTAACTTACCCAAGTAGTAAGAACTACTAAGTGGTAGAGTTTGTCATGGGAGTCCAGAGACTGTCGTTTATGGGCTGTTTTGTGCCAAACCATCTCTTACGAAAAGTCTACTAACCTCCATAGCTCACGAAGTGGACTTTTCCCCTAATCCACACGCCCTCAATGATAAAATCATTTACTCACCTTTGTGACACTTAAAAATAGCAATAGCAAGACACCGGTGGAGAGAAAATGTTATTAACCATTGACGACATTTCACGAAGCCAGCAAATGGGAAGCAAAATACAGAAATATAGGAATAACTCATAGGCCGACCAACACCACTTCTGCCATTTTCCTCACTGTCACCACCTTGGCCTCTTTTACCTGAGTCACTGGCCTGCTCAGAGAGCATGAGTGTGCTTCTGCTTCTGGCTAAAGAAGCCTGTGTGGGTGTCAACAGTCGCATAACAAGAAAGTTTTCCGTGGGACTAAGGTGCATGCGATGAGCTGAGGGACGGAATCAAATAAAAATTTTAAAAAGCAAAATTAAAACAAAACAAAATGCTTAAAACAACACAATGCATGATGCAGATTAAGTTTTGGATGGTAGAACGAATGTGGAAATTAAAGATATTCTAGCAAAGGATGGCTTCAGAGTTCGTCAGAGTAAACTAAAATAAATGCTGTGTCATCTAGAGTGTGAAAGAGCGCGTTAATCCTCGTGGGGGCCAGAATTCATTCAATATGTGATTACACTACTACCCTTATCGCTCAAAGAGAATTAGCCCATCTTCCACGACGTAATATGGACTCAAGAAACCATTTACTCACCAACTACATGCAGCATTGAAAAAGAGATTATTCCTGCAAAACACTTGTTTTAGGTCCCTCTGTTAAGAAATATTTCATAACAGACCGATTTCGTTAATGTACAAATATGCATTCTTTCATACTTTTTCCATGTAAATAAGGGCAAAAATTAAGTAAGCACAAAAATAAAAACAGCCCACTGATTATCAACTTTAACGGAAGGAATAGTATTCATAATCCAAAATTCAGTGACTGAAATGTCATTTTGATGGTTTCGGAACGTACTGTATGGTAATGGATTAACTTTTCCATTACTTTATATTTTGGGGGTACCCAGTAGCCAGTAAATGGTTTGAGAATTGAAACTTTTCAATTTATAATCCACAAGCAGGTAATTCCTTCGCCAACAAAATACAATAACATACTGATATCTTTACATACCAATCGATGCGAATATGAATTTAACATTAATTTGTAACCATGTGAATTCATGAAAACATGGAATACACTTGCTAATGGAACAGCTAGAGTTAAGAGTATGCAGATATTTTCTCATTTAACTCTAAATTAATTCAAGGTTTCCAGGGCTTACCCACGAACAACATCAGAGATCAGCCACACTGACACTTACGCGGTCTCTGACGCACGGAGGTTCAAGGTCAATGCCATTGAAAAACAACCAGGAAGACAAGCTGGCCTCCTCAAAATCACAAATATCCTTCTGCTCACCCTTTGGTGATGACTTGATGTGTTAAATACTCCACTGGCACCTGACACTTCTTCGATGCTTTAAAATACACGCTTGATGCATGAAGAGCTTCCCTCCCTTCCCTAACCTAATATACTCTGAAAGGTATAAATTCAGACTTTTAGTGACGCATCTGAGCTTCAATTAGGACTCGGGTGGTTTTAAATCTATTCAGTTTCTGGAACTGGCACACATCCTCTACATATCATGTCTCACCTCAAAACAGAATGCCAGGAAAGGCCACCCATCCTTTTCCTATTTTAAAGGCTTCATATTAATTCCAAACTTCTGTTTTCAAAGCAGAAGTGCGCAGGCCTACATACCACAGAGCCCCATTTTTTCACACATCTGAGTTTCCCACATACCTGTGCCTCATCAATTCTGCTGTTTCCAACTAATCAACTATATCGGATCGATAACGGAGCAGTTATTATTTTAAAGGTCACATCTGCCCACTGGTCAGTTAATTCTGAGACAGGACAACTCCTGCATGCACTGTGGAAGATGGCACAGTCTCTTTCAGACCAAGAATAGCATTAACTCCTGTCTCTGTACAACACCAACCTGGCTCTAAAGGGCAATGCTACTTTCCAAAGTCCCATTAGTGAGGCCCTGGGGCTCCCACGTTTAGACCACAAGACTAGGATAATGGAGGTATTTGCACAAGACTCAAGAGAGGCTCTCACGAAGACTGACATTAAGACGCTCACACTAGAAAGAAAACTGGAGAGACCAAATCTGCACGTTCACTTGCCTCGGTCTGGGGAATAGGATATTGCCGCGGTGGATGAAGACAGGCGCTTACTCATGGGAGTCTCCGTCTGCTTTGGCAAATTCATGGTTGATGTTGAAAGTTTGTCACATGCTGCAGAAAAATGTATTAAAGACATTGGTATCCGCACCACCGTAGACTGAGAAATAACACATCCCAGCGTTCTTCCTGTCCTCATCCACACGCCTTCCAACCGCTGGGGCACAGCGCATTGCTTCCATCGTCCTGCTGCCTACCTAGCTTATCTGGAAATGTCCACAGCAGCCTCCGGTCTGAGGCAAGGTCTTGTCTTCTATTTCTCAACTCTCTTCTTCTCTTTGATTCCAAATGTTCAACCTCACCTCACTGTTCAACTAAAGCCATGCTAATCCCACCAGCAAATCATTTCCTTGTGTCCAGGGGCTTTTATTCAGTATATTCAGACCGCATGAAAACAAAACCGACTTGGACCCAGAGACAAATCACCACTGGAAAATGTCCTATGGTCTGACTGAGACTGTGTAAGCTGAAAATGGACTCTTTCTGAAGGTTATCTATAGCTCAGGTTGGAGAGAAGTAATTTGCAAGGCAAGGAGCTGTATTTAAAGTAGAACAACCTTTAGTAGTCGGTTTCTTCCTCGTACCAAGAGACGGGGGTCACAATGGCCTTCTGTCAAATGCTATGACTGTTTATAATTAGGATTTTAACATGTGGTCCCAGGTTTGATGTTCTTAATTTCCAGCCCTTATTTTAGACTGGTTTCTAAATTAAACCATTACAGCGAACGAAGAGATGCTGACAGTGCCCTGCCAAGCCATACCAGAAAGAAAAGATGTGTGTCCTGGCTTTAAAGGAAGCAAATTCATTGATCGGATTATCAAAATCTACTCCTCCCCTCATGTTTTCGAATGAGAGAATCGCCATGTTTGACCATTTTCTCTGACCAAGTGACAATCTAAAAAAAAAGTTAATTAACTTAAGCCGAAGTAAAATTATAATAAATTCTGTTTTAGTATAAATAAAACATTTAAACTTAAAATCAGAGTTTCGATACACCTACTTTTCAAGTTTTCAGTACTTTTGCAACTACTTAATGTTCTAGAAAAAAAATGAACCATTAGAAATTACATAAAGCCATGTAATTGGAGAGGGGTACGCATTTCTCTCTTTGCCTCAGGTTCCAATATTGCTCAGCAGCATGGCACTGGTCTTTAGAAATTCAGTATTTTATTCACCATGGATTATTCTGCAGTAATTGTGATTTATTTGAATATTATTTTATCTTGATTAATGAGATTTATGGTGCCCCCCTAAATTGTGAGCCCGAGTCCGGTACCGCACTCACCTGACCCTGGCCTGGATCCTGGGTGCGACTCCCAAGGGGTAATTATCACTCTATGTGCCCTTCTCTGTCGAGAGAAGGCCAGTGCCCACACTACAGCTCACTCGGCCCATGTATCAAAGTCTGTGCTACTCAGTAAGACTAAGAAAGATTATTCTTTGTCAAAGGAATGCTGGAAACCAAGATTATTTATTCTTACTGCTATAAATTGATCTTCTGCATTGCTGGTAAATACTGCATCCCTCTTACATCTTTTTTCCTTGCCAGCCAAAGATGGGTTAAAGTTCTAAAATCATTATTCAATGGGAGCAAAGTTTTGCTAGTTCTGTTTTTGATCTAGATCCTAAGAATTTCCCACACCTGCATCGAAAGCAGAGAGCCTTCTGTAGAAATGAAATCAAGAACAAAGGCAACTGATCTTGTTTAGATCCCCAGGGTTAGGACAGATAAACCACTCCCTCTCAAACGCCTCTCCAGACATCCATCACATTAACACCCAGAACTCTGTGTGATCACAGGTTTTGGTAATCAGAAGTGATTGAAACACAATACTACATAATGCCCAAAACTGATGATTAATGAGTGTGAAAGATCTAAATGCACACAAGTCAAACATTGACAAGATTTTCAAGGCAGAAGTTGGTGAGCTAAGGATGAAATGTCTCCAGGGCACTAGGATGCAAGGCATGCACAGCTCCACCGTGACAGAGAACAAAGAAATGTGGGCATGTCATTCACATTGCTAGAAAAAAGTTCTAAGGGGTCAGACTAAGAAATCAATTGTAAAGTGCTTGAGACAGACATGGTGATGGAGGAGGGTGATCAGAACAGTCATCGCAAAACGTCATGGCACTGTGATGCTCAAATATACCGTTGGTGGACTCGGCAGCAGCGGCAGTGGTCCCTGGGTCCGGAGGGAGGGTGCTGGCTGTTAAACCTAGAGGAGGGGGTGGGGCATTTTCTGATTCACCTACACAGCAAAAAATCAGAGCAAAGAGAGGTAAAAGGAAAAAGTCCCAATTTCTGGTTGACTTTAGTTTCTAATTAGGAAATTAGAAAAAGTAACTGAAATGAGTTGTTGACTTCTCAAAGACAGAAGAAAATAAAGTACATTCACTGACAAAAGATTAAAAGCACAATACAGCAAAGCCAAGAAATGTAAACGTAAACCCATTTGCTCTCAGTAAAAGCTAGTATATAACTCCTGCATTAAAGAATGACAAGATCACAGAAAAACAGACTCTGAAGACAGGAAAAAGCCACCCAGAGACTGGTAACAATCCATAGATTAAATTAAACACTTGAAAATTTAAAGATGAGTATGAACTGGATAATGGAATAAATAAGTCATCTTGAAACAAAATGGAAAGAGCAACAAAAATTAATAATGAGGAAGGAAAAACCCCAGCCGCTTT